CCAGCAGCCCATCTCCTTGATCCTGTCTGCCGGGAGGCCCATGTGTGTGGCCGTTGTGGCCGCACCAATCCTAAATGAATGTGCCGCGTAGTCTTTGGAAGGAAAACCGCAGGCATCTATAGCTTTGCGAAGTACCCTGGTGAACTGGTGGCTCATCAATCGGGATCCATCCTCGTGAGTAAAGAGCGGGCCAGGGCCGGGAAGTCTGAGTTAAAGGTAATGCCTGGTGTCCTTTACTGGGCATGGGCCCTTCTGGCCAGAGGCCGTGAGTTGGACTAGGGTGCCCTTACCGCCCTGGTCCGTCTTAGACTGATGCACCCGCACCATCACGCCTGAACTGGACACCTGCACGTCCTCTAGAAGGAGGCAGCGCGTTGTCCTACTTGAGGTAGCTTCTACTACCACCTTGCTAACCCTAAAGGCACCAAAGAAGGCTATAGCGTATGCTGCAGAGAACAGCCGGGCCTCAAACTTGGACCAGCAAATTGACCTAAGTTTCATACGTTAGGGGAAAGGGACGATACTTTGGACCTGAAACCCGTGATGTCGCACCATACTTTCTTATAAGACCTGAGGGTAGAGGGTACGACAGACAGTAATACTCCCTTGATCACTTCGCACCTCCAAGGTTCCATAGGTGATCCAGAAAGAGTTCTGGCAGCAGCTGAGCCCAAAGTGCTAACGACCGGAAGTGAGGCATCTGGAAACGAGATAAGGCATCCGCTATATCCTTATTAACCCCCGGTATGAATTTCGCCAAAAAATATATATTATGTTCCAGGCACCGGACCACAAATGTTCGAAGTAGGCAAGACACCCTCTCGGAACACGATGACTGCTAGCCAGTATGTTAACCACCGCCTGGTTATCAGTTCTGAAGCATACCCGGCGATTCCGGAACTCCTCGGGTCCATATGTGAACAGCCACAACTATGGGAAAAAACTCCAGAAAAGTGAGATCCCGCATGATGGCCTCCCCTTGCCACTCCGCTGGCCATTGTTGTGTGCACCAACGTCCCTTAAAGAACAGACCAAAGCCCAGGGACCCTGCCACATCGGAGTGGACCTGGAAATCAGAGGCCAAATTAAGGATTTCCTGCCATAGGGAGACTCTATTGTAGTGTTCCAGAAATCTGATCCACATCTCAAGGTCTGCCTTGACCGACTTGGGGAGTTTTACTCTATGGTGCGGGTGTTTGAGGCCCGCTGACAGCCTGATAGCATTGTCAATGTAATATTTCCCTTGAAATTTGAATCCCAGCAAATGGAAGTCATTGGGATGAACTGGCAATAGACAGAAGGCTGACTCTATGTCACATTTTGCCAAGAGTGCCCCATGACCAAAATTCCGGATAAGTCTTACTGCCTGATCGAAGGTGGCATATTTTACTGAGCACGATTCCGGTGGAATGGCATCGTATACTGAGCCACCCTTAGGGTAAGAAAGGTTGTGGATTAATCTGAACTCACCAGGGGTCTTTTTGGGTACAATACCAAGGGGTGAGATGTGCAGGTTTGGGATAGGGGGGTGTACGAATGTACCAGCCACCCTCCCTGCGGCCACTTCCTTAGATATTTTCTTTTCTGCAATCTCAAGCCTTTTCCTTACTGACATCTGGTTAGGGGAATCCTGTGCAATTAAAGAGTCGGTTACTGGTATTCTGAAACCCTCTGAAAAAACCCTTCCAAAGCAAGGATGCTGCGCTTTTGTCTGGATAGCTAGACAAGAGGTTGCGGAGAGGAGGGGGGTGGATCGGGGAAAATGCTAGACCCGGAGGGTCCCTATCGTCTGTTCCCTGCTGCGGGGGCTCCTCTGGAACTAGAATGGTGGAACCCCAACCTCCCCGAAAGGGCTTGTTCCCTTTGCTTTTCTGAGGGCGGGGGGTGGGGTTAGATCGCAAGCGAAATGTAAAAGTAAGGGGCTACACGAAGGGGAAACTTAAAAGAGAGTCCTAATGAATTGCGCAGAGCAGAACTGGCAAGGAGAAGGGGAAACAAACAAAATAATAGCGCAATAGGGAGCTGCAGATCTGACTAAATTAACTGATGCCTCAATTGACCCCAAGAATTATATAGAGAAGCGACCACATGCACAATCACTGCTGACCAGTTACCCAGTTGCTTAGCTAAGCAAGAATGTAAAAACGAGGCTAGCCAAAGTAGGCTGGCGGAGGGGGGATAGTGGGCTGCCGGCTATATGATCAAGTATAAAGGCGAAGGAAAATAAACAGTTGATTACTGGAGCCCCAGGCACCTCAGTAAATGAAACGCTGCACAACTAAACCCCTAGGTGTCTGCCTGGCAAGTCCTGCTGCCCAGTTAAAGCAGCTTATACTTTTTGTCCCACACTAGGAGAGGAGGAGGAAGCAAAGGTGTTTTTTCTATGACACACGCTCCAAACCTTCACACATAGCCTGGGAGGGTAATTGGAACTTTAAAATTTACACCCCAGCGCCGAGACCGGGGAGAAAGCTGGAGACCAGGCAGAAATGCTAGCGACGGAGTTTTTCTGCGCTGCCGCTTATTCTAAGAATATATGCAAAGTCTATGACATCACACTCACTCTGTTCCCTGCAAAGATTTAGCTAGCTGCAAAACTAAAGTCCGACACTGTCCCCAGATAAGATCAAGCTAGCAGCAATGCACTGTCCCCCTGAAAGGATATTTGTGGCAACAAAAAATCAAGTCAGACAACTAATAAAGCAGGCAGGAGTTTGCTGGCAGCAATTCAAGAGTCAAATAGAGTTAACACGGGCAAGATGCAATAGGAACGTAAGGATCTCTTCTCTGCAATGAGAGAGAGGGATAAAAGAAACGCCTGGGTTAAAGCTAAGGGAAAAACCTCAAAGATCCCTCAAGAACAAGGCAGGGGTTCAGGGCTTCCAAAGCTGAGCGGCAGCCACAGAAGGGAAAAATGGGGCTTTCGGAGGCGTTTTTTACTGCCCCGCTGCTTCCGATTTTTTAAAAGGCAAATTGCGGGAGAAGATGCAGCAGTCAGTCACTCTCTCACTCTCTCCAAGCACCCACGCTAGCGAACCAGCACACAGGCAACCACAACCACACACTCACAAAGCACACACACTGGCAAACACAAAGTCGCAATAAACGCATTCTTGGAGCACACACACTAGCAAATTCAAAGTCGTACTGTGCACACAATCAAGCGATCGGAGTGGGGGAGAATAGATGATTAGTACTGAAGGAGCTCAGACTAAAGCAGATAGCGCTCGAACGCCCCCAAAAATTAAAACAGAGAACTGGGGAGCCTCCTGGTATGCAATTAAAAGCGGATAAAACTAACAACAATACTAAAACAGCCAGCAGCTAAGCAAGCAAGATATCCCAACACACCCGCACGCCCCCGACTCCAAACCTCGTGGCAAGCACTTCCCTGGCTTTGGCTGACCGCAACGAATATGACCCTGTTGACTCGAAGAAAATGTGTGTGCAATGGCGGGGATGGCTAGCACAGCCGCATTTGAGCGGCAAGCCCCGCCCTCGCTGAGCTTCCCTATTGGGTGCCCAACCGGGGAGGGGCGTGGCGTGCCAGCCCTGGAGTTGAAGCAGGGGGCAGAACGCCCCCCGCATGACGCAGGAATCGTCTCCCGCTCACAGCCCCTCCCCTCCGGGAGGAGGAGAGGCTTTTTAGTTTGCTGGGTTTTTTTATTGTTGTTATGTTTTTAATTTGTGATTGTGAGACATTCTGGGGGCCGCATGAGACCAAAAGACAGCTGGTCCATAATTCCTAAAAGGGATTGGGTAAGTCAGAAATTTATTATTATTATTATTATTATTATTATTATTATTATTATTACTATTATTATTATTACTATTATTTGAGCTCAGGTAGCGACAAACAAGGGATGTGGGTGGCGCTGTTGTCTAAACCACTGAGCCTCTTGGACTTGCCAATCAGAAGGTCAGCGGTTCAAATCCCCGCGACGGGGTGAACTCCTGTTGCTCGGTCCCAGCTCCTGTCAATCTAGCAGTTCGAAAGCATGCCAAAAAAAGTGCAAGTAGATAAATAGGTACCTCTCCGGCAGGAAGATAAACAGTGTTTCCATGCGCTGCTCTGGTTTCGGTGTCCCATTGCACCAGAAACAGCTTAGTCATGCTGGCCACATGACCCGGAAAAACTGTCTGCGGGCAAACACTGGCTCCTCGGCCTGTAAAGGAAGATGAGCGCTGAAACCCCAGAGTCGTCTGCAACTGGACTTAACTGTCAGGAGTCCTTTGCCTTTACCTTTTTTAGCAAGAAACAAAAAAAAAAAAAATGCCACGGATTTCTTCTTAAAACCAATGCAATCCACACTAGGGATGCAAGAAGGCATTCTTTTCTGTTTCACCCCATACTCATTACATGCACATGTGGCTCTGGCCAACTCCCAAGATACTGGGTTTGGGATGGGCCACACCTGGCGGATCCATTCCATCAACATGGGGTTTGTGGAATAATGAACTGATCCTGGGACTCAATGCCATGCCAACCCTTGCCCTGCCTGCTGCTGTCAATAAAGTTTTGGCTTGATTTTATCCCAACACCATGGTACAGTCTGGTTATTTTGCTGCTGTCATGGTTCACATATTGCACCTGCTTGGGCAAACATTTTTGCAAGCAATTTTCCCTAATGTGATGAATTTTATGTTATTTTGCACTAATATATGCATTTAATGGACACTCCCCTCCCCATTTTTGTACATGTTATCTGGTTGGGGAATTGCATCATAACGCTTGGAGAATTGCAAATTCTGAAGGCTAGCAGGGTTACAGTTAGAATATTGCTGCAGAAACTGAAAATTAGATAGCTTTGAATTTCTCCCCCATTTCTAAACTGAAGCATCAATTTTGGTATCTTTCTTCCTATATGTAACTTTTTGTTTCTTGCTTACTATCTTCATGTTAGACTTTTCAAAAAAAAAGTTACAGCTAGGCACAAATAGTCACCGACACTATTCACTCTGTTTCTTGGCAAAGGAACCTCAACAACCATTTCCCCAAATTTTTCTAGAGCAGGCATCTCCAACCTGCAGCCCTCCAGGTGTTTTGGCCTACAACTCCCATGATCCCCAGCTAACAGGACCAGTGGTCAGGGATGATGTGAATTGTAGTCCAAAACATCTGGAGGGCTGAAGTTTGGGGATGCCTGCTCTAGAGGAAAGAAAAAATTATCCATACAGTTCCTTGAGGTAGAGCTCACCATTATCAAATAAAGCAACAGTTTCCTTCTCTCTCTCTCTCTCTCCCCTCCCCGATTTACTAAGCAGCAGCAACTGTGTGACAACCTAGCCTCCATTTTGTGTTCTCCACAATGCCCTGGGTGTAGCTATCAATTGTAAATATTGTTTTTACGCTTTTTATAATGCTGCTGCTGATGTGGATTCTCATCTTGCAATACATTTCCCCTCTGAGATTTCCCATAGTGAGATCTTCTAGTTGGTGAAGAAACGATATTTTTTGTCGTCAGAATCGGCTAATGATTAGCTGAGAGAATTTTAGTCACACTTTCATGCTTTCGAGACACCTGACGTATGGTGCAAACAGAAGCTTATAACTAATTTCCTGCCTTAAGATGTTAATTTGCCATGCATATAGAAGGCCGATTCTGATGCCAAGTGTGTATTATATTTCTTCTAACACTGCCTTACTTCCAACATGTGTTTCATACAAGCTGGGATAGCTGAATATTGACAGAATTGAGGCTAGAGGCGGCGGCGGCGGCGTGACATTCAAAATAACTGCCAATATCATAATGCTGCTATACAGCTCTGTGCACGATTCTGGTTGCCTCAATTCAAAAAGGATATTGTAGAGCTGGAAAAGTTTTAGAAAAGGAAACAAATTCTGGAGCCCTCTGAGGGAAATAACATTTGGGAATTTTTAGTTTTTTAAAAAAGGTGAGAGGTGAGAAAATTATGCATGTTGTGGATAGACCTCTCAAATGATACTAGAACACAGGGCCATACATTGGTCTTCACCTGGCTCACAGCTTGATGCAAGGTGGGTTACGATAGGAGCATTACCACAATGAAAATATATAGTAAAAGATTAAGAAATGGATCCTCAAATGAATGGTTGGGTTAAAGTGAGTTCTGAGTCTGAAAAGGTTAAAGATACATGCAATGAACTATTTTCCTTTTCTAGGTTGACATTGTTATCCCTGGGATCTGTACTCTTCTGTTACGATCTGTTCTTTGGTGTTTCCAAAGGCTCTTCTACAAGGTTATCTATAATAACCATTAGCATCCAAAATCAGTGAAATTCCAATATATAGGCTATCTGAACTCCACTTTTGGTAGCAAACAAATTTATTCTCTCTGTCTCTCTCTCTGCTTTGCAACACGGCAACAAGAGAAAGGGGAGGGAGGATACCTTCAACAAGAAAGAACACTATCGTATCTTGTGTGACCTAGTTTTAGGTAATGAATTTCAATTTGTCTATTTTCTTTGATTAGGCTGTAGGAAAAAATGCCTCTTACCTTGAAGATGAATTTCCTTAATCTTTTAATGTGACATCTGGAACTTTCATTGATTAGTAATAGTCTGACATTCTTATCATTTGCTAATGATATGTTGCAAATTTTCTCAACTTTAGCAGACTTAGAGACTTTGGATTGGATACAGACTAATAGTTAGCTGAACTTAGTTCCCACAGAAATCAATGGGATAATGAAATTTTCATATTCATTTTAAGGGTATCTAAGTCCAACTAACAGACTGGATCCAATCCAATATGTAAATTACACATAACAAATTGAGGTGTCTTTAAGTTCTCAACAAATTAATGAAATGGCGAGAACAACTCAAAGATTAATTAGCCCTGAAATAGACATATGTTGTCCTTAAATAATAATAAAAAGTAGCAAGGACAATTTCTCAATTCTACTGCTCACATACACAATGCTGGTAACAGATTTTGACTTTCTAGAAGATTTCAGCTCACATTTGGGATGGGTAAGAAAGAAATCAGGACAAGGACAAGGTGATGGTGTTCTGTACCTACTTACCTCAGATCATGACCCATTGAGCTTGAAACCTGAGTGCCTTTCCCTGATGGCTTTTTAATTTTGTTAGGTGAAAAGCACTCCTAAGCAAGTTCACATGGAAGTGAGCCCCATAGGGTTCAATAGGACTTAGTTCCTCACAACCATGCTTAGAACTGTGACCTTAGCAGTGTAAATTACTGCCCAGTTCATATGCAATAAGCTCAGTCTAATCAACCACAGTTTATCATACCAATAGCCAGCACTGTTCCTGCATGCTCCTTTTTCACATCTCCCTTCTTTTCTTTTCCCCCTTGTGTATCAGACATCAGTGCTTTTCTCATAGTCTATTACAGCACAATTTACAAATCAGAATCTGTTCCTTTGGGCCATCTTCTGAACATTTCTTTTTTGAAGTGGGAACTGGATTCAAAGTTGTGCAATAAACAAACAAACAAAAACAAATGACTCCCTGCAATTCAACTAGGCTGGCTGTGAAGGCTTTGCTCAATGTCTCCTGCAGCTTCCAACTGTATCTTCTGCCCTGGGGAAGAATCTTTAGCTCAGTGGTCTGCAAAGATGGTCAAAGGATGGTCAAATAGTGAACAAAGTTAGGGGAAATTGTTTGGGCAATGCTATTGTAGTCTATTTGCCAGTAATGCATTATTATTGTGTCAAGAGCATGTTGAAGTCTGGGATATTATTACTCACATGCCCATTGTTGTTGTTGTTTAGTCATTTAGTCGTGTCCGACTCTTCGTGACCCCATGGACTAGAGCATGCCAGGCACTTCTGTCTTCCACTGCCTCCCGCATGCCCATACATACCTATAAATACGAGCCTCTCAACTGAGGATGATACTTTGATGCTTTGGCTACAATAACTAAACACAGCTACCCTATTGGAAACTGAATGCTACTTTGTAGGTTAAATGTGCCAACAGAACGTGGTAGTGTCAGTTTTAAATGGTTACATTCGATTTAGCATTCCAGGAAAATAACAAATACCTTGGTGCTACCATAGAAATGTTTGTCAGAGTCAGATTTAGGGGAGCACAACTGATTTGCCCACACTGGGCACTAAACCAAGAGGGTGCCACCGACGATGTCGCAACAATGACAAACAACAGAATGTGAGAGGCGGGCGGGGTGCTGAAGTTTGGCAGAGCACAGGGGTGCCACTGAAATTTTAAAGCTCCACTGTAATGATGATGATAATTTATTGGTTGTACATAAGAATTAAAGGATAGCTATGGTGAGCTGTTTCTGTAGATTTTCCTGTACTATATAAAGTATATTTTAGAGACTAAACTGAGCTCCTGCTGACATCCACATAGTGATGATTCCAGCAATGCCAGGACAAAACCATAGTAGTCCATGCTTCTAAAGAGGCAGAAGCCTTATGAAACCCAGAAAGTGAAGTTTTGGATCATAGTGATGTAAGGAAAATAGAATGTTAGCCTCTTTCTATTAAGGAGTTTGATCTTATGCTTTAGAAAATTAGATCTATAAAGGAGTCTGAGAAGAAACTAATGTTCATTTGTCTGCTTTAGCTACATAGCTTAGCATATTGAAATCAAAGCTACAGCTTAGATTGGAGCCTTTCTGAATAGCTTAAGAAAACGTTAGTTCAACAACTTTCTTCTTCTTTTGTAGTCTCAAGCATTTTCAAAGACCAATTTGTCAGATGTAGAGATCAATAGGCTCATGTGGATGGCTTTCCTAATCCTCCTCACCCTGTGTGCTATATGCTCTGGTATTTTTTACAAAGTATCTGTTTATCTGTTATTGAAGCAAGAGTATTATTTTTCCTTTTCTTGCTTGGTGTGGACATATTTTGAATCACAACAAAGGGTTTTAAGTTGTTTGCAGTTATGATCTACAGCAATGGGCATAAATCCTCACGGTATTGATTAGGCTCTCAGAGTGGATTTAGCTTCAATGGAAAGACAAGCTTGAAAAAGAGTTGGAATCAACTCTCAAGATAATGCCATAATTACTAGGTATGCAGTCAGATTTCGAAAGCCTGATTTTGAAAACAAAAATATATATGGGATAAAGGGAACGAACGAATGAACAAAGGAAGAAAGGTGGCCATAAATAAAATACTATTAGTACACGGAACAGAATTTTCTATTTCTGCTGTGTTAACAAGCTTTATTATAACAAATGAACATAGGCATCTTATCTACACTTCCTGCAGCATATTTTATTCTTTGTCAATATATATCTTTGCTACAGTAGTAACCTGAACACATTTTAGACAAGGCTTATTTATTCTAAACTTCAGAACCTGTTCCACATTTTTTATTTTATAGATTAGTATTAATCTCAGCTCAAGAACTACCGCCCCATATCGTTGCTTAATGTGTCAATGTTATGTAGTGTTTTTGTATTGTATTGTACTGTTTTTGTAGTGTTTAAATTGTTGGGAAAATAATAAATATTATTTTTTTAAAAAATAGATTAGTATTAATCTCTGCTTCTCTTATTATGTAGTGGTCTTTCTTGCTGGTGCATGCATTAGTGCCTGAGTCTTCTAGGATGGCCCTCTGTGCCATCAAAAAGGCTTAATAGGGTTCTAGTCCTCAGTGCATCAATTGGTTACTCTTGCCTTCATATCAAAGGTCAATGTGCATAGAAAATTACATCACAGAAGACCTGAAAGGGAAACAAAAGACTCACTGCTCTGCTCTAAGCAAGAATATCCTACTGTCTAGACTCTTAAGACAAAATATTAACCAAATGTTCCACTGAATTTAATTGGGCTTACTCCAAGGTAAGTGGGGTTAGAATTGCAGGAAGTTAAATAGGAAAGAGTATTATAGCGATTATGTGCCTCCTTTGTTCTTCCTATCAAATCAATTTCACTTGCAAAGAGGAAATTCTGTACTTCTTACACGTTTGATTAGTTTGTAGGAGGAATGTCAGAGAATTCCATTGGAACTGAAAAGCGGAAGCTGCCACTGTTCACATTTTTGACCAGTTCTGCAAAGGAAATCAATTCAGCTAATCCATTTGGTATTTGATCACAATGTGCTTTTGAAAGAAAAGGGGGAGGAAGCGCTTGCAACCGATGCATAATAAATGACTTGTTTTTTTATATCGTTTTCATGTTCCCTTCAAATGGAAATAAGTGGTATGGGAATAGTTATATTCATAACTCACATAAATAATT